TTACGTCCAACTTGCCAATGTTTTTTCAAAGATTGTGCTTTTGGTGTTGCACTTAAAAACTCATTGCCAATAAGTCAGACAGAGAAAGACAAATACTAGATGTTATCACTTATACGTGGAATCTAAAAAAATAAAACAAAGGAATGAATATCACAAAATGGAAGCCGACTCACAGATATAGAGAACAAACTAGTAGTTACCAGTGGAGAGAGGGAAGAGGGAAGGGGCAAGACAGGGGTAGGGGGTTAAGAGATTCAAACTACTATGTATAAAATAAATAAGCTACAAGGATATATTGTACTAAACAGGGAAAATAGCCAATATTTTATAATAACAATAAATGAAGTATCCTCTTTAAAAATTGTGAATCACTATGTTGCACAGCTGAAACTAATATAATATTGTAAATCAACTACACCTCAAAATAAAACAAAACAAACAAAAAAATTTCAGTGTCAAACATGAGATCACCTAGATTTCCTCCTATGTCACCTCCTAGTTTTTTGCTTTACATTTAGGTCGATGATCCATTTTGAGTCAATTTTTGTTTCAATTGAAGGACAATGTCTTGACTTACTATTTTCAGTTTTATTGCACATGCATGCCCAATTGTTCCAACACCATTTGTTGAAAAGTCTATCCTTTCCTCACTGAATTTCCTTTGCTCTTTGGTCAAAGATCAGTGGAATGTATTTGTGTGGATCGATTTCTGGGCTCTCTATTCTGTTCCCTTGACCTAGTTTGTCTGTTCTTTCACCAATATCTCACTGTCTTGATTACTATAGCTGTATAGTCTTTTTTTTTTAATAGATTTATTTTATTTATTTATTTATTTTTGGCTGCGTTGGGTCTTTGTTGCTGCGCACGGGCTTTCTCTAGTTGTGGTGAGCAGGGGCTACTCTTCGTCGCAGTGCATGGGCTTCTCATTGCAGTGGCTTCTCTTGTTGTGGAGCACGGGCTCCAGGTGCGTGGGCTTCAGTACTTGTGGCACGTGGGCTCAGTAGTTGTGGCTCACGGGCTCTAGAGCGCAGGCTCAGTAGTTGTGGCACACGGGCTTAGTTGCCCCACGGCATGTGGGATCTTCCCAGACCAGGGCTCGAACCCATGTCCCCTGCATCAGCGGGCGGATTCTTAACCACTGCTCCACCAAGGAAGTCCCCAGCATCATTTCTTTCTTAACTGTTTGACAGAATTCACCAGTGAAACCATCAGCGCCTGGTGCTTTCTCTTTTGAAGGATGACTAATTAGTGATTCAGTTACTTCAATAGCTACAGGCCTATTCAGATTATCTATTTCTCCTTGTGTGTCTTCTGTTAGTGTTTTTGAACAATTGATCCAATTCATCTTAGTTATCAAATTTGTGGGCACAGAGCTGTTCATAATATTCCTTTGTTATCCTTTTAATACCTATAGGATCAGTACTGATGGCCCTTACTTCATTTCTGATATTAGTAGTTTGTGTCTTCTCTCTTTCTTTTTCTTGGCTATCAAGGCTAGAGGTTTATCAATTTTATTGATCTTATTAAAGAACCAGATTTCATTTTCACTGATTTTCTCTACTGATTTCCCCCCTTTTAGGGGACACAATGCCATGCACACACTAATCAAAAGAAATCCGGAAGTTAGCCAAATTAGTATCAGACGAAGTAGACTCCAGAGCCAGGGATATTATCAGGAATAAAAAGAAATATTTAAAATGGCAACGGGGCCAATTCATCAAAAAGACAAAGCAACGCTAAATGTACACGTACCTAATACAGAACTTCAAAGTACATGAAACAAGTGATAACACGGAAAGGAGAAACTGTCAGATCCATCATTAGAGCTGGAAGTTTCCAACATTTCTCTCTCAGCAATTGATAGAACACAGGAACAGAAAATCAGAAAGGTTTTAGAAGATTAGAGCAATGCCATCAACCCACTGGACCTCAGTGACATTTCCTGAACACTTCACCCACAGCAGCAGTTCAAGGAACAGGCACCAAGGGAGTCCACATTCTCGGCAACAAATCTCAATAAATTTTAAAAAGCACAGAAATCACACAAAGTATGTTCTCTGGGGAATTTCCTGGTGATCCAGTGGTTAGGACTCTGCACTCTCACTGCAGAGGGCCCAGATTCTATCCCTGGTTGGGGAACTAAGATCCTATAAGCGGTGTGGCCAAAAAAAACACAAAAAAACAAGCAAAAAACAAAGTATGTTCTCTGCTCACAACATAATTAAACCTGAAACTAATTTTGGAAACATATCTGGAAAATCCTCAAATATCTGTCAATTAAGACCACATTTCCAAATAAACTATAGGTCTGAGAAGAAATCATAATGGAAATTGAAAACATTTTCAACAGAAAACATATTATAATTTGTGGGATGTAACTAAAGTAGTGTTTAGAGGGAAAATTATAGCCTTAAATTCAGATGCTGTCATCCTTGTCCCTCCATTACACAGTTCCCGACCAACCTCTCACCAATGATTTCAGGATCATTGCTTAGAAGCTTATTTCATAAGGTTTGCAAAATGTTGCTTCTCTAATTTTATTGACCTTTCTGCATGTACTGGCTAGAATTCTTTTTATAAATAAGTGCTTTCCCTCATCAACTATTTGGTTACCTTGAAATGTAAGGGTAAAATAAGAAAGGCAAGACTAATTGTTTTGCTTGAGTCTTTTATCTATTTTCAGAATGAGACAATGCCCCAGCAATATTCACCTGTGATCAACAGGATTTCCAAAAATAGCATTATGGAGAAATGAACTTAAACACATCGATCATACACAGCTTTTTATTCCTTTTGAGGCTCAAACTGTTCCAGTAGGGGGCCTCTTGAAGTTCTCCCCACCCCAAACAACTTATCATAAAAATTTGCCAACATACAGAAATGCTGAAAAGAATTTTCCAGTGAACAGTTATAAACCTACCACCTAGATTTCACAGTCAACATTTTTCTCTGACCAACACCACCAATACTACTTACTTTCATCAAACTCTTTTCACTTTAATGTGTATCCTTCTAGGTCTTTTTCTATGTATTTCACATATTTCCTTAATGTATTAGTCAGCTCCAGCTGCCGTAACAAAATACCACAGACTGGGAGGCTTAAAACAACACACATTTATTTCTCACAGTTCTGGAGGCCAGAAGTCCAAGATCAAGGTGTTGGCAGGTTTGGTTTCTCCTGAGGCCTCTCTCAAGACATGGGCCGGGGCTACAGCCACCTAAAGACTGGGACTGGAGGACCTGTTTCCATTTCAGATGTCTGGCAACTTGGTGCTGTTGGCCAGGAACCTCAGTTCCTCCACACAGGGGGCCCCTCCACAAGCTTGAGCGTCCTCAGGACATGGTGGCTAGCTTCTTTCAGAGCCAGTGATCCGAGACAGAGAGCCAGGTGGAAGCTTACTGTTTCTTGGACCTACACTTGGAAGTCACATAGCATCACTTCTGCCACATCCTGTTCATTAGAAATGAGTGATCAAGTGCACCCCCTCTTATGGGGGGCAGGGTATGGCTTCCCTTTTGAAAGGAGTGTTGAAGGATTTATGAACCTATCCCAAAGGTACTTTTACCCTCACTTCTGTGATGTTTTGATTCTTGAAAGTTGTTCCCACCACACTGTATGTAATTCTCAGATTCCCCACCTGTAAAATGAGGGGTAGCCCGTTTTATGTGCTTTTGGTTTTTTTTCCTTCCAGTTTTACTGAGGTGTAATTGATGTACAGCACTGTGTAAGTTTGAAGTGTACTGCATAATTCCTTCTGCACCACTGCATCCCTCCCCACACAAGAGCCTCTTACTCTGGCCCTGACATACTCTGAACTTTAATCACAGCACTCAGACTTTGGAGGGTGGAAGAACCGTTGACGGTCTTGGTGCTCTCGCTAGAACACTTGTGAGACGTAATTTGAAAATATACATTTTTTTTTGCATCGTGAGCACATTCATAATTTTACCTGCAGAACAGGATATGACAAGTCCCTTCTCTGGGAAACAGGAATGAGTGGCTACTATTTACAACACCTGCATGCTGGAGAAGTCTTCCCTAAGAAATATATAGCTGCCAGACTCAAGTCAGCTGTTTTCAAGCTTTTCTGTGAATATCCACTTCTTTTTTTTTTTTTTTTTTTATAAATCTACTTATTTATTTTTGGCTGTGTTAGGTCTTCGTTTCTGTGCAAGGGCTTTCTCTAGTTGTGGCAAGCAGGGACCACTCTTCGTCGCGGTGCGCGGGCCTCTCACTGTCGCGGCCTCTCTTGTTGCGGAGCACAGGCTCCAGACACATAGGCTCAGTAGTTGTGGCTCACGGGCCCAGTTGCTCCGCGGCATGTGGGATCTTCCCAGACCAGGGCTCAAACCCGTGTCCCCTGCATTGGCAGGGAGATTCTCAACCACTGTGCCACCAGGGAAGCCCAATATCCACTTCTTATTCATTGATTTGTCACCAATAGCACCTTCTAGAAGAAAACGGCTGGCAGAGCCCAAAGATCTATGAAAACTGCAGGTGAAGCTAGAAATTAGGAGGATAACTTTGACAGCCAGGAAAATTAGTTTGCCTTTGGGAAGCTGGTCCACGGGCCACGCACATAAAACGGGCTACCCCTCATTTTACAGGTGGGGAATCTGAGGCAGAGAGACCAAGGGGCCTGCCCACAGTTACAAAGGTGAAAGGAAGACGGGGAGGATTCAAACCCAAAGGTAGGCAACCTAAGAACCCTGGTTCTTTTCTTTTTTTCCTTTCCACTGTGGTAAAATATACCCAACATTCCGTTTACAACTTTAGCCATTTTTCAGTGTAGAGTCCAGAGGCATTAAGTACATTCACACTGTTGTGCAACCGTCACCCACTATCCATCTTCCCAAAACGAAACTCTGTCCCCATTAAATCCTAACTCCCATTCCGCCTCCCCGAGCAGCCACCGCGTTCTTTTTTAGAAAGATTAAAGCATTTACACTGAGCGGTGGCCCTTATGCTCGGCAAAAAACAAAATACAAACACAGAATACCTTCCGGACGGAGCAAACCAAAGCCAGAGTCGCTGCGCCCCTGCGGCTCAGGTACTGCGACACCGGTGAGCGCGGGCCTCGCCGACCACGCCGGCCACGCCCTCCCGCCCTGCACCCGTGGCTGGTCACACCCCTCTCCACGCGCCTGCGGTTGGCCCCGCCCCCGCCCCGCCCCCGTGGTCCGCACGCTCGCGCGTCTGGGGGCGGAAGCCCGCGCGGGCCGAACCACGGTGACCATCAGAATGGGGAAAGGCGGAATTACAGCCGCCGCGGTATGCTTGGGCGTAAGTGATTAAAGCACCTCTCATTCATTTTTGTATTGCGCCAGGCAGTCGTCCCTCTAGTAGCCTTAGCCTTCTCTGGCTCTCCAGGAATTCCGTTTGTGTTTTGGAATCGCCCATTCTTTTGCCCAGTCAGTAGACGAGTCTAAAAGCCGACATGTGGAGGGGGAACTTAGTAACGTAAGTTGAAATATTTGGTGAAAGACTAAGATATCCTAACCAAAATAGTTTGTTGAACTTACAGTTTCCTCTAGTATCAATTTTTAAGTAAATGATATTTTCACGCACTTCCGTGTACTGAGATGATTTCTGGTACCTCCCTGCGGCTTCACAAATAGTTTATTCCTTTACCGCGGGGCCCGACGGGAGAAGGAAGGGAGTGGCTGCCATGTTGGAGGAACCATCTGCTACTTTAGGTGGGGTAGCGTAGTTCCCAAACAGTTTGTAGATTGACCGAAGCAAGTGTGGTGATTAGAGTGGAGCACGCACTTGTCACAGGGGCGCTGTCGGAATCGCTGGTGGGCATATTTCTGCCCTGTGAGGTTTTCTGAGCGCGCGGGGCTGCAGCAAGGCGTGGGCGCCCCCCTATCCCCTTGGGCGCCCCGCCGCACGCACATGGCCCGGCGGTAGGCGCGCGGTGCGGCCTGGGAGAGTCGGAAGCGCGACGAGGCCCGGCGAGGCGGCAGCGAAGGGCCATGCAGGACGCGGAGAACGTGGCGGCGCCAGAGGCGGCCGAGCAGCGGGCCGAGATCGGGCAGCAGCAGCCGACCGCCGAGCCGCCGCCGGGAGAGGAGCCGGCGCGGCCCGGTGCGCAGGAGGCGGCGGGCGGCGAGGACGAGGAGGCTGGGCCGGGGCCTGATCTGCCGGCCGAGCCCGCGGCGGACGGGGAGGAGAAGGCCGACACGACCCACGGCGTGTCCCCGCCGCCGCCCGAGGATCCCCCCACCCCGGCCGCGGGCGAGGCCCCGGCGGGGCAGGCGCGGGACTCTGCGTCCGAGACCGGGTCCGAGGGATCGGGCGGGGAGCCAGGCGGCGCGGCGGAGAACGGCGGCGCGGACGAGCCCTCCTTCAGCGACCCCGAGGACTTCGTGGAGGACGTGAGCGAGGAAGGTGAGGCGGCGGGGCCGGTCTGCGCCGAAGTTCCCGATGCTCGAACGCGGGAGGGGTGCCCGCCCTCTGCCTGTCGCCCCCACGTAGGGAAGGTTTCCGTGAGCTCCTGGATCTTGTTTTCTCCAAAAGAAGAGAAGGGCAGGGTGGAGATAACTTGGGGAACCAGCCACTGGCACTGCAGCCTGGAGTTTGGAGGGTGGTGAAGGCAGACGGCGTGCACGCGGGAGCCGTGGTCGAGTGTGCAGTGGTGTGGCCATTAGGGTCGAGCCGAGCTGGACACTCCGTGTGCTGCACGGTCTCGGGTGACAGTTCTTCGTCTGCAGTCTGGGTGCCCCGAGTGACCCGCCAGACTTGTCAGAGGCCTGAGACTGATTCGGTGCCGACTCCTTAGGGATGGATGGACGCTGTCCCTCGGGAGTGGGGAGAACAGGGTGGCCAAGCTGGGTTCCTTTGCCCCCGCTGTCCCACAGCAGCGTCTACCCCCAGAGAGTTCCTTAGGAGGACAGTTTGAGGCCGGCTCTGCCCGATTCCTGTTCGTGTCTCTCTTTTCCTAAGTCTGTAGGCATACCGTCATCCTTCTGTTGGCAAATAATTTTCTCGAGTTGTAGGATTGATTGTCGCTTACTTTGCCTTTCTCTTTGCCTTGGTTCGACTTACATGCATTATTTCTGCTTTTTGCCTGAGAGAGCCTGTCTCCTAAGGTGACTTCTGATGATGGCTTATCTCATTTGTTTTTATGTTTGTTTTTAGCCATTTTATCTTTCCAGGCTGGGAGCACATAAGTGGATTCCTCTGCATATTGACCACCTTATAATAAAATGGGAAAAATGAATTAGACACCACAGAGGTAGCCAACTATACACCAGGAAGATAAGATGTTACCGCTTAAAGTTAGCTTTTTTGGAGATGTGTCTGATCACTCTGAGAATGAGTCAGAATAATAAAGGATATCACATAAAACGATAAAGAAGGTTTAGAGAACCAACAGAGTTGTTTGCCTTTGAAAGATAAATTTATTTTTTAAATTTTTATCAAATGCTTTTGGTTTTTTTTCCTTCCAGTTTTACTGAGGTGTAATTGATGTACAGCACTGTATAAGTTTGAAGTGTACTGCGTAATGATTTGACTTATTTGAAACATAATTTTAAAGGGCTACCTGTTATTGTCACTGTTGTCTTTATTTCATGAGACAAAAAACATTTCAGCATGAAAAGCAGGAAAGGCTCCACAAGCTAGTGAGGACTTGGGAGCCGCTGATCCAGTCAAAGCCCTTCACCTGTAAGAAAATGTGTTCCTTGTGGAGTAGGTTGCTGGGAATTGACGGAGAGGCTGTGTTTCTGGGCTCACCCCCTTTCCCCTACCCCCCAGCCTAGACCAGTGTTCTTTTCTTACCACACCAATTTATCTTCTATTTTAAAATTTGAGTTTTGATTTTAAAACCTATTTTGAGCCCTTAGGTGTTTATTCACAACTGATTTTTTTTAAGCATTATTTGAGCACACCGAATTTACACAAGATTTCTAGTACGTGACTTCCGATGTGTGACAGAATACTGACGTGAGCACAGGCCATTCAGGCTAGGTGACTGCTGGGAGGGCCTTTGGAAGCCCTTGTCATCCTGATATTTTGCCAGAGTGACCTGTGAGTCTCCTGGTCCTGAGGAGCAAAGACTGAGCAAGCTGTCGGTTTTCTTGAGGCCAGTAGCTCACATATGTTTTCTGGTACATGAGAACTGCCCTGTAGGGTCAGAAAATGATGCTCAAGATGTTGGTTCTTTTGAAAATGGGCTGAGTCTCATGACGAGCCCTCTCGTAGGTGCCGCAGCCCCAGTGCCGTTGTCTTGCCTCCTTCCTCTTTGAGACAGGTGAACTCTCACACAGTTGCATCTTTTTTTTTTTAATTAATTTATTTTATTTTTGGTTGCGTTGGATCTTCGTTGCTACACGCGGGCTTTCTCTAGTTGCGGTGCGTGGGCTTCTCATTGCGGTGGCTCCTCTTGTTGCGGACCACGGGCTCTAGGTGCACACGCTTCAGTAGTTGTGGCATGTGGGCTCAGTAGTTGTGGCTCACGGGTTCTAGAGCGCAGGCTCAGTAGTTGTGGTGCGCAGGCTTAGTTGCTCCGCAGCATGTGGGATCTTCCCGGACCAGGGCTCCAACCCGTGTCCCCTGCATTGGCAGGCGGATTCTCAACCTCTGCGCCACCAGGGAAGCCTGCACAGTTGCACCTTAATCAGTTTAATTTTTCAACTGCCTTTGGTGCTTGGTCAAGCAAATATGTGATAATGGTTTTAACTAAGTGTCTTCTTTGCTACTTAGTCTTGAGAACTGTTTCTTTCTTTATTCCCTGTAGTCAGAGTGGGAACCTGACTGTGTGGGCTGGTAATGATGAAGGAAGTGTGTTTCTTCCTGTGTAGTTACTATGCTTATTCCCTTAAGGGTGTGTGGGTGGGTTCTTCTAAACCAGACACAGTTTGTAGAAAAGCTGAGCTTTTTGTTTGTAAGTTTGGGTCAGGCATAACAGGCCTTGTCATTGTTCGGTACGTCAGCTTTAAAAGGAACCCAAGGGTTTGACTTCAGTCTCTGCAGGGAAGATGCGATGACCTAATCTGCCTCTTCTCTTCTTTTTCCTTTTTGCTTGGCCTAAATTTTAGCTTCATTGAAATTTAACTGGCAATTGTTTTATCCAAGGTAACATTTTCAGTATCATTCGTTAAAGGTGTTGAAGTTTAATTAGAGATAGTTTATAACAGGGCTTGCCTCTGGAAATTAAAGGACTTTTTTCTTTTTTGAAGACCTCTTAACCTTTTTAACACAAAAGTGAAGATAATTCATCTAAAGTTTTGAAAATGAAATACAACAAAGAATATTTTCTGACATGTGTCCTGTAGAGCATGTTGAAATGCTTGAGTGTCGTGCAGAAATTAGAGTGATGATTAGGTTCCAGAACACATAGGTACCTAAGCAACAAGCCCTTGTTCTTCAGCTGTTGTTTAAAGATTACCTTGTACACTCACTTTGCCTGTACAGACAGTCCCCAAGTTGTGATGGTTTGAATTGCAGTGGTATGAAAGTGGGTTTATCAGGAAGTAACCCCATTGTAAATCAGGAAGGTCTGTATTACCAGTGTAGTTTCGTGTGGTGAGTATGCTTTGATGGCAACCTTAAAGATGTCTTTCTGTTCTAGCTCCTAACACGGTGCCTTGTAATCTTATAGCTTTCTAGACAAGCTGGCTAACTAACTGGGATTAGGATTCGTACAGAATTTGTGTTAAAAAGAGGAGGGTTTGCTTTTTTCATCTGATACTCCACTTACCCTCCGAGAGCCCGTCTGCAGCAGCCAGTCCGGCATTTCTGTTGGAGCCAGGCCTCGGATAAGATTGCAGCGGGCAGCCCCAGATGACATTGAATCGCCCGGAAAACATAGGCCTCCAGTTGGCTTCGCAGACCTGTTTGCATTGATTCCTCTGTGTTTCTATTTCCTAGTTCGTTTTACACCTGTCTTTTCTTCTTTTTCTCTTACTCTTGCTGACCATTTTATGGAAATGAAGCAATTCTGAGAAGTTTGAACACTTAAGATTTGGGTTCTTTGATCTTAATTTTAAAAGCGGGTGGCATGAACATAATAGGTTTTGAGCTTTGGACTGAAGTTATGAGTGAGTTGATGTTGCTTACTGTGTTCCAAGCACTGTTCTAAGCGTTTACAAT